GCATCAGATGACAATGAAGCAAATTTACAGGGTACCATTTGAGAGGAACTCTGATAGAGTGAAAGAGCTGCGGTACCAGTATGTACATGTAAGTCAGTTACTGGTTGTCCATCATTATAACCTTTTTACAATTAAAGGTGCTATATGTATTTTTTAGCGGCCTCTATCTGTGATGTTTCAGATTGCAACCAATTTTTACAAGAGCGCTCGTTCTCTTGCGCGTTGCGCATGCTCGAACACAAGAGCGAGCACTCATGGTACCGGCCACACTGAGACTTTCAACACACCGGAGAAAGCATCACACAACATGCTGGAAACTCATGTAAACTCCCACTGCAACGTTACAATAATAGGCTACTTTTATCAGCTTGACGTTGAACTAGTGCTCCATGCTCGTACCATGATAACGTTACATTGACTGCATTTAGCCGACATGTGGTGTTAGCATAAGGCATTTCACCAACTATTCGTGTATCTTTCACAATCAGCAATGGCAACATAGGTGAATGTATAATATGATAACGAAAACGATTAGTGAACTAGACTTGTCATGATTCTGCCATCATGTCTTTGATTTCTCTGGTCTTGTGGCAGAATCATGACAGACCCATGTTTTCATGTGCAGCACATGGCCATTTGTTTGGGCCATGTGCTTGCGTTGTCTCGTTTTCGATACCCCGCCCCCTTGTTATCCTCGTCTCATCGTTATTGTCTAGTCAGTTTCACCTGTCCTTGTCATTAGCGTCTCCCTTTATTATTCCCTTGTGTTTGCTGTCCTGTGTGGGTTCATTGTCAGAACTGTGTGTTACTCTCTGTGAGTACATTATCTGTATCTTGTGACAAGATTCGTAAGTTTGTGTAACCGGTTGTTTTCTATCTGTCTAGTCTTAGTCAAAGTTTAGCTTCCTAGTCTTGTCTATGTTTTGCCCCCTCGTGGGTTTTGTTTTCTGTTTTGTGCCTCAATAAACCCTGTGTGTGTGCATTCAGTCTGCTTCTGGGTTCATCTATCTGCACCCTCATGACAAGACTGAACAATTTCAGTGTAACAGTAAGATCGTAGGAAGTAACATTACTGTACTGAACATCTCTGAAAATTATAAACAATATGATAGTAGTGGGATGAGTGACGTTAGACAGTAGATCTAGTACATCAAATAAAAGTTACATCCTAAAGCACCTACTTTTTGTTATTCTGGAACAGTCTTTTGTATTCATTTCATGTCTCATGTATGTTGTAGTTTACCTTGCCATTTCATTACAGTTTACCATTATTTATTTCAGCATATCTGAAAACTTGTAATTTATCACAATAAAAATAGCGGAGGTCTCTCCATAATTCAAACGCTCTGCCGATGTTGATCCGTGTTTTCGTCCTAAGTCGATCCGATTGACGTTTGGCCTGACGAGCTTCAGCAGACACATTTTTTTTTTTTTTTTATATTAATGTGGAGTTTCTGTTGGAGTCTGTGTTGTGCTGGAGGCAGGTCGTTTTTTGGGTGTTATCAGACCCCATGTCGTCAGCTACAGTGCCGTCGCATAGACTGTATATAAAAAGGAGAGAGGCTCGGGAGCGCGCATGCACGTCACATCCGATGGATTTTGCAGAAAATCCGACCCGGAGACTTCACATAGAAATAGGAATACTGGCCTTCAGAGGTAATAGCAAAATAGCAAAAAAGTGGATCATTGTAATGTGTGATTACAACCCCTTCACACACAGGCAATAAAAAAAAGGATTCATTTTAGAAGAAAAGTTACATTTAGCACCTTTAAGCAGTGTTTCCCAAACTTTTTTGGCTTCAGTACCCACTTTACCTGATTTGTGTATCCAGGTAATCCACGTATGGAAGTATTTGATTTATCTGACTTCAACATTTTGCCTAAAAACTGCAGCTTACTGTATGATGCAATAAAAAAAATATATATATATATATATATATATATATAACATACAATAAGAAAAGGGGTCAACGAGCTGCAATTAGTGCCTCCCATGTAAATCTATCTAATACTGTGGGTTTTACTGTAACATTTCAGTAAGTCTAGACATTGATGATTTACCCCCTCTCCCCTTTCTGTCAAATACCCCCTGTAGTACCTCTGCATAGCGGTACATGTACCCCAGGTTTGGAACCACTGGAGTAGTGGCCAGTAGTATATTGAACTTGTGGAGAACATAGAACATTCCTATGTAATTGTCTCTAACTGTAGTAGTGTATGACTCTTCTGTATAACTGATTTTATGTTTTCTTTTTTTACGCTATTGTAGAGAATAATGGCATTGGAAGGAAACGAGACCCATTACATCCTCGTGTTTGTGGATGAAGCTGGCTTCAACCTGGCCAAGGGCCAAAGACGTGGCAGTAATATTATTGGCCACCGGGCCACGGTGGATGTCCCAGGCCAGCGAGGCGGCAATATAACTATGGCTGCGTTCGAAACTGCATACTCAATGAGTAGGTACTTAATTTCAATAAGTACTTACTTAACGAGCGCTAAAAGAGTAGGTACTTTATAGCCAAATCTCGTTGAGTATGAATGCGAACCGGACATCTGCCATGTTGATGTTATCATGTGACCTACGACACGTTATCACAAGAGCAACAACTTAAAATATATGAACGACACGTTTAATTCATCTATCTATAAATATCTTGATATTGATGAAACTTGCTCATTTTGTGGTAGTATTGTTAAAGAAACAGCTGCCCATTTATTACATTTGGGGTTAATTTAAGTTGTTATATTTTAAACCCTACTAATGTGACCCACAGTTTTATCCTTATAACGATATAATTTTTTATTAAGAAACCACAAAATCGTCATCTCTTGAATATGTTGTTAATTTCTTTATTTTATACCCAAAAAGTTTCCCTCTATTTCTTGATGAATTTACCTCTCGTTTCATCCCTCCGACTTATAACAACAACAACAAAAAACATTTTTTTTATGTATTATCAAGATATTTAGCCTTGTTATTGTTCTTTTTTCCTGTGTATAAATATCATATTATGATGTACACAAACCAATGATCTTTAGGTTTTCTGTTTTGTCATTATGATTCTTATACAACTATGCTATTTTTCCATGATCTTGTATGTAATAAGTTTATAAGTTTAAATTATATGAGCGACAAGTGCACTAACACTTCATAACATCAGTAACTCGACAGCACAACCTAGACCAGTTTTCCTCTGCGTTTGTAATGTCTGCACAAAGGAGACGGGCAGCTGCTCGAAGATCTCTCCTTTGGAGAAAACTGTTGATTTTATACTCAAAAAATGTAAGTATCACTCCTTAAAAATTAATATTACCTCAGAATGAATTGCATTGTTAGCCCACCCCAAAACTTAAACAAAATAATAATATTAAATGCTGACCAATACTTAATTATATTACTTTTTTTATATACTAAATATGATATAATTTAATAAAACAAGCAAAATGTAATTTGTTTTGTCATATGACATGATAGTAATGCATGAATACATTTATATTGATAAATGCAGTGAAACAGCTCAATTGTCAGTCAAGCAATGAATTAATGCATACATTAATTAAATAATTATATTTTATATACTGACAACAATAAGAAACATGAATAAATGAGTAAAAGAACAAATAAAAGTAACCACCACAATAAACAAATGCATATACAAGTCAACAACACATGAAACAAAGCTTTATTCAAACTACAAGCATGTATTTACAGGCGCTGAACCCCAAATCCTACTGCCATCTCAACACAGCGGTTCCCATTCTGTGGCTTTATTCTGATGAATTCACCAGAGCTGAGCCATGCCTACGTGCCAGGGCTTGTTGCTGTGCTGCGCTGCGCTTCACAATCTGAGTGTCATGAAACCACCAGACTCAGAGGGATCCAAATGCAGCGTAAGTTTAATCTCAGACAGGCAAGGGTAGCAAACACAGGCAGGATAACAGACGCTCGGAGAACAGACTAAGAAACGCTAGGAGATGTACACGACAGTGAATAATACATTCATACAAGACTAAGCAAAGAGTGATAGTGACAGTGAGGTATAAATGTGTGTGGAGCTGCGTGTGGAACTAGATGCAGGTGTGAGGGTGATCAGTGGAAACAGGTGTGTGCGCAATCAGTTCAGGGTGTGTGCGAAAACAGTCCAAGGGAAGCCAGTGCAGAAGTGGAGCGCCCTCTCGTGACACTAGAGGGCAATCCAGCCGAACTTCATCACATAACCCCCCCTTTAAGGAGCGGCTTCCAGACGCTCCAAAGAAGATCCAGGCGGGGGGCAGAGCAAAGACAATCCTGGGAGAGGGACGGAGGGCCAGGCCCGTGCAGGGGAACGGGACCAGGAGGTAGCCAAGGCGGGCCTGGGCCGCAGAGCGTGGGCGGACCAGACTGGGCTGGCGACCAGGGCAGAGCAGGACGAGGCGAAGGCCAGGGCGGAGCAGGATGAGGCGGAGACGAGGTCCATGTCAGCGTCGCCTCCATGGCCCTCACAGGGTACCTACTGCCCCCCCCCCCCCCAAAAATACTTGGGGAAAACCACGGGAGGAACCTCCGAGCTGTCAACGGGTTCAAGAGAGGCCTCCCGGAGCTTGAAGGGCGCAGGCAAGGCGAGGCGCCGAGGCGGGGCCGGCAGGGCGAGGCGCAGAGGCGGGGCCGGCAGGGCGAGGCGTCTGGGTACGCTCACCGGAAACTGGCGAGCCGAACGAGTCCTCCTCCTCCTCCTGCGGCGCGTCACTGGGCTTGATTCACTCACAGGGCTTGATTCACTCACTGGACTTGATTCACTCACTGGGCTCACGTGCAGTGCATGCTCGTCGGGGCTAACGTAAAGTGCATGCTCGTCGGGGCTCACGTGAAGCGCGGCCTCGGCTGGGCAGACGAGAGGCGTGGGCTCGGCTGGGCTGACGAGAAGCGTGGGCTCGGCTGGGCTGATGTGAGTCGCGGGCTCGGCTGGGCGGACGTGAGTCGCGGGCTCGGCTGGGCGGACGTGAGTCGCGGGCTCGGCTGTATAAGGGCAGATGGAGCGATAGAGGGTCTCATAAGGGCAGATGGAGAGATGGAGGGTCTCATCCATGGCACCACTTCCAGGATTCAGCTCTGGGCTCCTCATCCTCAGTGCTCACACCAGTCTGCAGACATTTCAGATCCTACAAAAATGCACAAACATTATACAAAAGCAGTCATTTTAACAGCACAATGTCATTTGATTTATGTATTAAAAATAACAAAAATGATCTTACTTTATATTTGAGTAAAATCCCTAAAACCTTTTTTTCCCAACAAATGCTGCCATCATCTTTCCTTGCAGGTCCTGCTCCACCACAAAAGCTCTGCAGCAAATGCACAGATCAAGAATCAGAAAAGTGTTGTAATTTCTCCGTTTGAAATTACAATAATTCAAATAAACTACAATTTAAGATTTAATAGATTTTGTTATCCATTTCTGTAGTATACTCACTCAAAGCCTTTGATGAAATCATTCAGCATCATAGGCCTCTCTGCACCGGATAAACACACGCGTGTTCTTCTGTCTTCTTCAGTTTTTTTCAGTCGCTAACAAGCGTCTGTCCAACCAGTTGTCACATTTTCAAAACTCTAAACACAATTAGCACAGCATTGGTCTTTTGTGGCCATACCATTCACACATTTCATGTCGTTTTCACACAATATGCAGTCAGTGAACACATTTCCACAATGCTTTCATTTTCTTAACAGACAAGCTATACCTCCCAACAAAATTATGGATTGTTTTTGTAGTATTTGCGAATGTTAACACACACCATCCCACAATAGCAAAAACAATATTCCAAACCTTAGATACAGTATAAAAACCTCTGCTTCTGCAATGATATCAGTTCAAAAACAATATATCTCAGCAAAATAATAAACAAACAATTGAATAATTGACACACAGATGATTTATGTTGGGCCAACCGCAGCTGATTCCAGTCTGGCTTAGACTCAGTGGCAGGGGTTATTTTTTTCTATTACATTGACACTTATACAGTAAAATGAGGAGTGATGTTTTTGGAAACAGAAAAAGACAAACACTGTAATGTCTGGCAAGGGGCCCAGGGAGAAGAGCAGGCCCAGTGAGAGATGCAGTGAGAGATGCAGGAGCAGTGAGAGATGCAGTGAGAGATGCAGGAGCAGTGAGAGATGCAGTGAGAAGTGCAGGAGCAGTGAGAGATGCAGTGAGAGGTGCAGGAGCAGTGAGAGATGCAGGAGCAGTGAGAGATGCAGTGAGAGGTGCAGGAGCAGTGAGAGATGCAGGTGCAGTGAGAGATGCAGTGAGAAGTGCAGGAGCAGTGAGAAATGCAGTGAGAGGTGCAGGAGCAGTGAGAGATGCAGGTGCAGTGAGAGATGCAGTGAGAAGTGCAGGAGCAGTGAGAAATGCAGTGAGAGGTGCAGGAGCAGTGAGAGATGCAGGAGCAGTGAGAGATGCAGGTGCAGTGAGAGATGCAGTGAGAAGTGCAGGAGCAGTGAGAGATGCAGTGAGAGGTGCAGGAACAGTGAGAGATGCAGGAGCAGTGAGAGCTGTAATGTGGACGAGAATCTGTGGCCAGACAGACAGCAGCGTCTGGATTGCCAGGAGGGTGAGGACGGTGGCCAGGAGAGGGAAGGTGAGGACAGCGACCAGTGAAGAACTGTTAGTTGTGAAACTCCAGCTTTATTTACAGCACTGTAGGCTGCATTTAATTTTCATTGTTTTTTGTTTGTGTGTTTATATTACAGTATATTATGCTGTATACATTTTCTTTTTACTCTGATGTATGGAAGTTACTTTATGTGTGTGAATGATAATGGTTACAATTTCCTTGGCAGTATGAGTGCAATGTGTGATGTCAAACCTTGGAGGCTACTCTTACCCTAAAATCCTATTTCTTTTTTTTTCTTTTTTTTATACACAATTGTATTCTGTTAGCTAGACAAAAAACAGTACAGTAACCATTGTCAATGAAGGACTGGGCTAAGACTGAAAGGTGGACATGAGGGATATTTCAATGGTCCTCTGCCATAGTGACAAAACATCTAAACATTTTGACTTGCAGTGCTTACACAATGCCAAAGGGATGAAGCATTTTGGGGGCACTGACTGTTTAACCCTCTGGGGACTAAGCCATTTTTGGTCCGTTTTCTCTATTTTTACATTTGGGCTTATAAACCATGTAATGGAGATGGAACACTATGTGTTTGGTATCTATGGATTCAGAAGACCCTAAGCTAACATAAGCATGCATGTAGTGTGTTTATAAAGGAAGTATGAGTGAACAATGTACAATAAACTAGAGAATTTCAAAAACGGAAATTAGATTTTTGTCATTTATTTCTGAAAATCACACATCACACAACAATAGTGAACAGTTTTTGAATAAAAAATATATATTTTCAAAGCCTTTGCTTGACAGAAATGTGTAATTGTTAAATAAAATGTGTAAAGAACAATGAAACATTTAACTTTATTTACAAATAGTCCTAGGCGTTTTTCTTAGGAATGCTTAGAATTTTCTAAGCAATGCTTTCTCCTCGTCACTCTCCAGTAATTGTTCCAGAGCTTGTTCCACCGTAAATCTTTACTGCTTGCCATCATAAAAGTGCTAAAACAATAAATAATGTTATAATTGGATGTATATATATATATATATATATATATATATATATATATATTATAATTGTTCTGTCTCTCTCTCATATTTCTCTGATAATCCGCTCCGTAAGCCTCCGTTCGCTCTCTCTCCTTCTCTCCATTCAACGCTGTTTGCGTCATATCCCTAACTATATAGTACCACCCCTTGCAAGGCTACAGAGTCCTCTGATTTGCTAGATACGTCATGGTAACCTTCCTCTGATTGGATAAGAAAAATATTTCACCATCGGCAATTTTTCCATTGGTTGTTGCTTGCAGAATCTGCCAAACAACATCGATTTCATTGGCCCTTTACATAGTGGTATTGCGCAACAAGTGTGTATATTTACAAGCCGGGTAAGTTATCACTGTTTTCAGCGGAATCTGAGGAAGACGGTAAAAAAGACCGCACCTCTCTATCATTAATAGTTTTTAAGATATATACACATTTGTAAAAGTATGCCATTTTGGGCGGTACCGCCCAATCCGTCCCCAGAGGGTTAAATGAGAAGGAAATTTAGTTTTGACACATGAGTGAACTGTTTTGGGAGAGGTATGAGCTTTTGCAGGTGAATCATGGTATTGTGCCGAACCAACCAAGTTATTTTGGCAAAAGCACCAAGAGTGTTGAGAACGTCCGGTCTGTTTCAAGAAATGAGCCAAAGCAATTGAGAAGGATCTTTGCCATTTTCCTGGCACTGACTCTTTATATGGTAAAGGAATTTAGTTTTGAAGCATGAGTGAACAGTTTTGGGAGAGATATGAGCTTTTGCAAGTCAGCAAGTGAGCTGCAAGTGAGTGTTGTGCTGAACTGTAAGACTGTTTTGCCAAATGATCTTAGAGTTTAAAATGTCTTCTTGCTATATTTGACACATTCATAATCATTACTTTTGCCGGTTCTTTGTGACAGCTTTTAGGTGCGTTATTGTCACCCTCTGGTTACATGAACGCGTCACCACCGCATCAGCACCGAAAACATTGTGATTTTTTTTGACAATAATCGCACAACCTATTGGATATTCTATAATTAAATCAACTAATCGAATAGGCCTATTGGAAGATCGTGACTCATCCCTATATTAACTGCTCGTCGTCAAATATTTATCTCCTGAAAGTTTCACGCACATCTCTGTCTCCTTAGTACATCACAAGCCCCTATATTGGCAACTCCTAACCACTTGAGAGAACTCTCGAGCTGTCCTAAATAACTGGGAGGGTAAGACTGATTCTTAGCTTTAAGAAATTTGATAACTTGATGACTAAAATGGCACTTTGAGAAGCTTGATAAATACGGGCACTGGTGTCATTTATGTTACGTCTATTTTGTCCTACATTTCTCCTGTATGGATTTATTAAAGACTATATCTGGGATATTTTCCAAATGTCAATAAAAAACTATTGCGAATGATGCCGTTTCCATTAACCGATTTTATGCGACTAAAACGTACATTTTTCCTCTCACGATAAATCATTCCAAAAGTCATGGCAACGGATGTTAGTAGGTTTAAGTATATCGCAAGCCACTGCACTAGTTGTTATATTTAACCAGAGGAGACTTAGGTGTATTATCCAAGCATTAATGGCAAGGAATTCCCCTTATACTTGGGTGCGGCCACGTATGAGGTGCGTTTCTCCCTCCTATCTGCTTCAAGGTCTTGATAAATTGTGGCATTATTTTGTTGTTTATAATCCAGTATTCCTGTAATTCTTTTGTCTTTTATGAGTTTAATAAAGAATATTAATATTTTGTCCAAACATACCTTCCCTTTCGTTGTTACTCCGAGTTATGTCGGATGACGACGAATGGGGTTTCGCTTAGAAAGCCTATCAAAACTTCGAGTCTTACAAAACGAGCCAATGGCAAAGAAATGCCATGGGTCTGCGGAATTTGCATGGCGCAACTCCGCCCCACCTCGTGGGTATAAAAGGAGAACGCCGGCAATATGCAGATAAGTTTTCGCTTCGAAGCCAAGTGTATGCTTCACTCCCAAAGCCATCCTGAGATCTTCTCTTCCTCTTCGAGACGAGCTTCTCTCCAGGTGTTGGTGTGACGGCGATTCCCAGCGAGTGCACATTCCCTGCGATCTGTGCAGTGATCTGCCAGTGTGTGTGTTTCTCCCTGGTCGCTTCAACACTCTGCGGAGATTAATCCTCTCTAAAAGAGCAGCGCGTGGCACGTCTTTTTAAAGATGCATCGCCCGTGCACTTCTGGTTGCGGTCGACTTCTATCTGACTCTGATGGGCACAATCGTTGCTTTGTGTGTTTGGGCTTAGAGCCCGCTAAAGCAGCGCTTGTGGATGACTCATGTTTTCATTGCGGAAACATGGCACTCGTAACACTTCGGTCGAGACTCAATGATCTTGCAAAAGGGAGAGTCCCCTCATCCACACCCCGATCACCCCTTCTACAGCCCGTACTTCATTGTCCCGAAGAAATCCGGTGGGTTACGGGCAATCCTGGACCTGCGCGTCCTGAACCGCTCCCTTCACAGGCTGCCGTTCAAGATGCTCACAGCCAAACACATTTTCGAATGTGTGCGGCCCCAGGATTGGTTTGCAGCGATCGACCTGAAGGACGCCTACTTCCATGTCTCCATTCTCCCTCGACACAGACCGTTCCTATGGTTTGCTTTCGAGGGGCAGACATACCAGTACGCGGTTCTCCCATTCGGGCTAGCCCTGTCTCCTCGCGTCTTCACGAAGGTCGTCGAGGCAGACCTTGTGCAGCTTCGGCTACACGGGGTTTGCATCCTGAACTATCTCGACGACTGGCTTATCAACATGTTGTTGTCTCAACACATGCCTCCACCACGGGCTGGGGTGCCATGTGCAATGGACATTGCTGGCAGT